CACAATTCTTTTCTTAAATTGACGACTGCTTGTTTTTGTTTTGTGGCAAAGTGACAATGGCTAACTGCTTCCACCTTTAATTTTGTACTGCCGAACACAGGGAAGGCAACTGGCCAATAACAATGAATATTGGGCTTAACCTTACATTAGCTGAAAGGGCGAACATTTTCGGCGTCAGATTTTGATTCCACGAACCGCAGACTGTGAATTGAGCGTCCTAATCACCAGGCCATGTCAGGCCCCTTAAAATAAAATGGACAATTAACATAGGGATATGAGTCTACCTTTGGGTTCGAGATTATTTAAAGTTCACATGCTTATCTTAACGATAATATTTAAAAATGAATATATTATTATTTGTTTGTTTTTTATTAAGCACAAAGCTACATAATGGGTTATATGTGATGTGCCCACTTTGGGCCGTGAAAGCCGATTTTGGCATTGTAAGCCCTTAAACTTACTGCTGAACCACCAGGTGGCAATATATTATAAAGCAGAGAAATATATATGAAGATGCCAAAAATTATTTACTAGTGTTTTACTGATAAAATAAGAAGACACCTAATCTGAAAACAAATTTAAGGTGGGGAACAACCTTTCTTAAATTTTACTTTGAAGAAAAAGCTGTTTTGGAACCATTTTGACAGCGAAGCATTTAAAATGTTTATCTTAAAACACTGAAGAACTTTAACAGAGAAGGAAGACACCTAAACTATTTAAGTTAAAAATGGGTGACTGAATATTCACAGAAGTCGATGGGGAGGGGTACGTTAGGATAAAAGAACCCTTTTTAATTTCAACTGTATTTAGATTATCACAGAAAATATAATCTATTGCTGCAAAATCTGCCTAATGTAGTGTCCTAATGTTATATTCATAGCCTTTTCCGTTTGCTTATGTTTCTTAAAATTTACTTGAACCTTGCTTTGGACCATGTATTGCACTGTTACTAACACACGTCTTTCTTAGGCCTATTTATATTATTGATTTCAGAAACGACCCCCACTAAAATATTTAATTGGGAAACCGAAGTACAGGTCTGCTCTTTGGTAAAACTTTTTTAATAGTTATAAACTTATGGACTGACTTGGGGTTTTCAATTTTGAATTGATCTCTATGGAGTAGCAAAAGTGGGTGTTTTAGGGAAGTTTTCAAAACCGGCAAATCTGAAATTATGACTTTTCTATAGAACAAGAAATCTTAAATCTTTTGTAAATCATCTTTTTTCAAAGGATAAAATAAGAAAAGATTATTTAAAACTGAATTACAGTCTTCTAAAATAAATTTCGAACATTTCAAACCATTTAACTTCAGTGGATTCACATCGGACATTGGTACTTTTATGAAAACACTACCTGACTTCATCAGTGGAAAAAATCGGCGTGTGAACAGTAAAGACCACTGAGATAGCTAGCTCCCTATTAAGAGCACTTTATTGAACTTTTCAATGACAAGGAAATGGAAGAAACCTTGTTTGCCACTGTTTTCGTCTAACTTTTGTAAGTACTGTTGAAACTATAAATTCACAACTTTGACTGTGTTCGAGTGCCGTATCAGGAATAAACTATAATATGATAAAATCTACAGAACTCAGTTGTATATGTGTCTTTAGACTGTATCATCATTTTTTACTGAATTTAATTTGTACCATCCTTATTTATAACGTTAGCGGTACTACTTCTGTTGGAATGCAGACTGTATGGGAGATACTTGTAATGTATTAATTAAAACCTGCTATTGCTAATACCTGTGTTTAACACAACAACTAATGTTCTTCAACATAAACTAAGCCTATAATATTTCATTGTTTCTGCTGTATACATGATAACGTAGATTTTCAAGTAACATAACAAAGGCTGTAATAAGCATTTATCTACTTTATTGTAGTTCTCGTTTTTTTTTCACTGAAAAAGATTAGGTTGATATTTTAAAGAGAACAATATTAATGTTGTTAGCATGATGTTCTTCTTGATGTTC